TAAATTATTTTTCTCTGTCCATTGTCTTATAATAGCGCGAAAAGGTATGGAAGCATAAAAAAATACAAAAAGAAACGTCCCCGGGAAGGCTTGAACTTCCAACCTCCCGATTAACAGTCGGACGCGCTAACCAATTGCGCCACGGAGACTTGTTTCATGAAAGAGACATGAGACATTGGATATATAAAAAGAACATGCTTGTCGTACACAGCAAGCAGCCCTAATATCACAGTATATTATCATGCACATATTAATCCAAATTCCTTTGTCCAACAGCGATCAAGTAATTCGAAGATGTCATCAAATATATATCTCTTCATTTCCCAGCTGAAACACCAAAATAAAGGGTATATTTTAATTTGAGATGTCATTATTTTGGCGAAGATATATATATGTCACAGCGCTACTTCGTCCGACCACGCCTCGAACTTGTTCGCTTTAGCCACCAGTTGCTACATAGATAAACACAGAATAAACATAGCAAACACCACAAATGGAGATGACATATCCCCACAGCACGACAGGAAACAGCCATCGAGAGTCTCGAACTCTACAATCAACTAGACATCCATCAGACATACACACTTCCCGGAGTCACAAGATTAACCTAGGCCTGCGAACTTCAAATCCAGTGCCACCCAATCTTACAACCCGGACATTTACTCACATATAATAAACCCAAGGATCACATCTGCGCTGGGTTGCTTATCATCACGACGACGTAAACCATAAAATCCAATCCCGTCCAAACCAGAACAACCCACGAATTGGCATTATAGATATCCATTGTTATCTGAAGGGAATAAGATCTACATATACATGTCAAGTATTTTATGAAAAACAGTAATGTAAACACCATGGATCGACCGGCTAGATAGCTGTTTTCGTACACACACTTTAACATCAACTAAGCATCTCCACCCCCAAACACCGATGCCTCCAAACGTCTGGAGCTATACCTGTCCCAATAAAGAGTAGAGTGATACATAACTGGTCTATTCAGCCCATGAAGCGAGATAACCTGTCGTCAGAATATAGCCATGGACCACGTAGTAGTCACAATTAGTTCCTGTCTTTGATATGAATAGACCTCGCCAACATCAAGTAGTAGTTCCTCTTACTTCTCAAATATGACCGAGATACTAGGGACTACATATAGCTCGTTTTATTGTCGGCCAAATAAATGATGCACTAGATAAAGAAGGGCTATGTATGTACGATACACCCATGGATACAATTGAGCAGTACAATAAATAAAGTTCGACGACTGAGTTTAAACCAACCTCACCCTATCTGACTAGAACCCCCAAAAAATTAACCCCAAAAAAACAAGACAGAAGCAAGAATATCCCCTTGCAAATGAGATAACTGGATTTGATTCAAAATCAAAAAACAAACGTCCCCGGGAAGGCTTGAACTTCCAACCTCCCGATTAACAGTCGGACGCGCTAACCAATTGCGCCACGGAGACTTATTTGATGAAGAGCGACCGACTTTTATGCTATATGAACCAAAGCTAAGGGACCAGGGTTGGGAGTTTCAATATTATCCTAGTAGCCACAAGGGAGAAGGACAAAAACGAAGAAAAGACGAAACGACGTGAAACCATGAAAACCCAAAGATCTTCAGACATTGAAACTGGGGAGATGCGCCCACAAGTGAAAGGGTGTAGAGGCATGCTACTCCGCAAAGCACAAGTCACCAACTAATAATCGAAGCATGGGTGCAAGACTAACTAATTTACTAACTAACTCAGAGGTTGACTAGCTTCTCCCAATTTTACAATATACTACGATACCGCATACCCAGCAATCAGCCTAGGAAAGGAAAAGAATCACTCTAGAAAAAGGAAGGAAAAAAAGAAATCGTAAATTACATTTGCTACGCCTGGAGGTCAAGACGACCAGACGCAGAATCGACAAATAATCTTACATACCTCTCCTGGAGATTGAAACAACCAGGCAGAGAAGAATGGACAGCAGTTACTCACCGGGTAGACACCCCAGCAAGGGAAAACACTAAGCGAGGTCTACCCGGCAGTAAGCCCAGGCACCAGAAACCAGAACAGCAGTTACAAATCATGATGTCCCCCACCCCCCCCCCCCGGTCCCGTGACCTCTTTGTTCTGTAAATCCGACTCCCAATGTATCCGACTAATAGTCGATGGTGATGACTGGGGGAGTCGGTATGTAAGAATGCGGACATGGAGGCAATCCCTGGAAACGACGGTTGTTATTCGTCATCGCCATCCAGGCTATAAGATCAACCCAGTCCTGGCCACGGGTGGACCAGAGTGCTTGTCGGACTTCCGAGAATCCACGAGTGGTGTATTGGCCGGTCATGGCGTAGCCACATCCAGAAATATGAAGCCAGTTGAGGTTAGGGGGAGGAAGCAATCGAGAAGATTGGAAAACATCAAAAACCTCAGACCAGGTACCGGTCAGGAGCTTAACATCGATCAATTCAACGCGAAGCAGCGTACTCCGAGCTTCTATGAAAATCTGATGGAGGGTCTCGGGCTTGACCTGCACACCTTCGAGCCGGAGGCTTCTAAGTTGAGAGAAACTCCCTGCTTGCAGATCGGATAGATCAAGCCAGCTATAAGCATTCAAGCTGAGGACTTGGATCCGTTTTGCGTGAGATGTGAGTAGGACGAGATACGGGGTAAATTGCCCGATTAGAAACCCGGCCTCGATTAATGAGCGAGGCCGTCTCGGGGTTGCCCTGACACCAAGACCGGTGCTGTCATTGATGATGATGTGTAGCTCTTCGATTCTGGCACAAATTTCGGCGAAACTCTTGGAGTATGTGTACGTCGTTAAGAAACGAGCAAATTCCACCGTAGTTGGCAGAGACAAATGAAGGCATCTCAGTCTCGGGACAGGTATAAAGCGCAAAGTATGCACAAAAGAATTTGTCAGCTTGGCAAGCATATCCGGCATGAGCAGTGCTGATGGGCTGAATGAGTCCACCAAGGGGGGTGCTTGCAACCGGAATGTTTGAACGTTCTTGAAACGACTCATCAGGAGCGGAAGAATTCCTTCTGCCAGATCCTCGATGTACTGATCATAACCCAGTCCGGGCAGCCATATTCCCAAGAGACCAAAGTGCACGTCGCGTACGTAAAGGGCGTATGGACTTTGAGAAATCATTAGGATTTTGTCAAGGGGTCGAACAGTAGAGCATCCGATCATGGCCTGGATCCTTCGGAAAAGGAGAGGAGTTGCAACGAAGTTCCAGGCCCGGTTCACCAGTCTGAAAGTCGAAAGAGTCTCCTTGGTCGCCGGGTTGTCGAAGACATCCCCATAAATGAAGTCGTATTCCTCAAACGTGGGAGGACTTTCAAGTACGGCATAAAAGATCTGAGACAAAGTTAGCTGGCTGAAGAGACCTAAGCTGCATTGGCTTGGCTCAATGGGTTACTTACCATTTCCAAAATTTCAGGTGGGAGCGATGACTCTCGTCCCAGATTAGGCTGTGCGTCATCACGAGGAGTCGGCGAAGGATAGATGTCAGTAGGAGCATCACTTAGAGCCTGCTGAGTGGGCGACCCGTTCAAGGCCACCACAGCCAGCGAATCCGAGGGCGACGTGGTCAAGGTCACGGCAGACAGCTGCGACACGGGCGGGTTTTGAGCCTGCGATGGATCCATTGCTGTAATTGAACCCGCAAAGATAGGAACAATACAACAAGTGTCAGAATTCACAACAAGTGCACAATAGATGCTTCACAGAGACGAAACAAGGATTGCTTGATGGATACAAGCTTGTTATGGTAGATTGAAAGGGAAGAAAGGGAAGAAAGGTGCTGATGTACCAGCCTTGTGATGGCTGCCATCCTTTCAATTGTGGGAAACGACATCATAAACGCGCGGTGATGAGGAGATATAGTGGTGAAGTATATCAACGTCGAAAGAGTATGGGAGGTATAGTACTAGCATGATATATAGCGACTTTCGAGCAACCTAGGGCTATACCGTATGTTAAAAACTCTAAAAGATGACTAATCACGGTAAGGCGCATATGTGGAGAAAGAACCTTTGAAGCTTCCGGAGCCTCATAAAATTCCAAGCCTCTATTATACGTTACTTAGACGTTACTTGGCCGTTACTTGGCCGTTACTTAGGCGTTACTTAGACGTTGCTTAAGTAGACGTTACTTACGCGTTAACTACATATTACTTGCACGTTACTTGCACGTTACTTAGGCATTACTTTAGACGTCAGTTACCTAACTATACATCACTTACGCGTTACTTAGCCGTTACTTACACATTACTTACACATTACTTGCACATTACTTGCACGTTACTTAGCCGTTACTTGCACATTACTTAGCCGTTACTTATACGTTACTTGCACGTTATTTGTACGTTACTCACACGTTACTCATAGGTCAATAGTAAGGGGGGTGGTAATGAAGTACCATCTATGATCTGGTTCACACTCTATAAAATCGATTGCATTAAAACTTGCTCATAAAGCCATCCCTATTGATCTTTGTCCACAATCAAGTCTCCGTGGCGCAATTGGTTAGCGCGTCCGACTGTTAATCGGGAGGTTGGAAGTTCAAGCCTTCCCGGGGACGTTTCTTTTTGTTAAAAGTCCTTTTTTGCTTAGCATCTAACCTATCATGTTGTGTGTGATATTACACCTTTTTTTCACCGCACAAGCGGCAGCACGAATAGAGGAGAGGGGGCGACATCTAAAATATCAATAAGAGAATAAAAAGAGATCAAAAAGATATGATTCAAGGCCCTCAAAGTAGATTGTCCGAAAGATACTATAGAGAAAGGAATCTTGAATATTACATACGGGTTTGGGTATCCTTTGTACCATCTTAAGCCTATGGACCAGATTATCGAACCACGCCGTCAACGTTGGAAGGAGTCCTAAGCAGCCCGTTATTTGTAACAAATACCATCACAAAATGCTTCGCTGGTACATCGGGTCTGTACAAGCAAAACCATTAAACACACCCAACCCAGCCAAGAAAGCCACTCTAAAACCCAGTAGCCAAAGCCGTCGTAACAGGCACCGCACTGGAAGGACAAACACAAGCCGTAACCGACGTAACCGGCGGCTCCGTACAATGCGGACTCACCTCCCAAGGCACAGAGGTAGTCGACGCCTTACCGCGAACCTTCTCAGCCTTGACCAACACAGGAATAACAGCACCGGTATTCAGCTTGAAAGTCCGGTGCCCAATAACCCTCAGAATCGAGGCGATTTCACCCGAATGCGACGTAATCGACACAAACGCCTTCGACTTGGGCGAACCGGAGAACACTTCACCTAGGACCTGGGCGCTCCGGATATCCTGCGCACCGCTCGACTCGGCCGTCACGCCGTTCCACAGCTCGTCCTCCTCGCTGAACCCGCGCTCAATGGACCAGTGCGGGAATAGCTTGTGGATGTAGCTGCGACTGCGGCGGTGGTCGCAGGTGTGGATGCTGATCCCTTCGCGCAAGAGCTCCTTGATGGTAGGCTTGAAGGGCGCGCTGTGTCTGGGCAGGTCCAGGCCCGTGAAGGTTAGATTGGCGGTTTGCAGGGTGCGTGTCAGCGGGCTGACGTAGTATTGGTCTGGGGTGTGGATTCGTTGTTCATCGATCTCCTTTTGCCAGAACTCGTTTGCTTTGAGCGCTTGCGAGATGCCGTCGGGTGTGAGGGTGGCGTCTGCCCAGCTTGCTGTGCTGTTGCCGCTGAGCTCGGACCAGTAGCACTGAATGGAGGTGGTTAGATTGGGCCTGGTGTAACGTTAAGGTGGTACATAGGTAGGGACTTACGTTCCACGCTGGCGTTCCGTAATAGGTCTCGGCGGCATTGTGCCATCCTTCGCCATGTCGACCAAGGAACAGAACCTTGTACTCGACGTCCGTGGGGGAATGATCATTCAACGCCGTGACCTGGCGGTAGAAGCGTTCCCATTGGGTTAGAGATTCGTGCTTCTTGTGATTCTTGTCTGCGGGATATGAGCGGGCGATCAGGCCGAAGTTCTCCGCTGTCTGAACATGTCAGCGGACCGAATAATAAGGCGTCGACGAAGAGATTGTTTCTGCTATAATTCGCGGTATTTGTTCACTTACATAGTCAAATGTAGAGGCATCAGTCGAAGCCTCATCTTGCAGGAAGTAGCCTGTGACCGCGGAGTAATTGATAATCGATGCCTGCGCGGCAGCTAGGCCCACAAGGGCTGTGCCGAGGGTGGATAGTCTCATCGGACGGAGATACACGGGTTTCAATTCCAACGTCCAAATATGTACACAAATTTATTCTGGCTCTTGGGATAAGATCGACAAATATGCTCCTTTTATACACAGGTACGAACCTTGAGAGACTGTAGCGCACGTGGTAGTTTAAGGTTACGGTGAGTTCCAGGGGCGCTTTTCCGCGTTCCAAGGTTCCGGACACCACAACCTATGGTCTGGCGCACGTGCTGGATCCATTATTGTACGACATCAGTGTACCTTCGGAGTATATCCCAAAGTACTCGGATGAGCGAGCTACAATATAAAAAGGGCAAGACACCGATTGCTTGGCCTAATAGCCAAGCCCTGACCGTCTGCTGGTTGATCGGGTTTATTTCGGGTAAATGCCAAAATGCAAGAGATCAACCCCTTTTTGATTTGATTGAGAAATATGAGATAGTGTAGATACATAACAAGTGTATATATCGTGGAAAATATCAAAGCCAGATGCTGCCAAAGCCATATGCAAACCCAAGTTCAAATCCAATCCACAAAAACCGATTCCAACAGGAATAAAAAAGAGTAGACAAAGGTAGAAGGTAAAAGAGGTCTCGAAGTTCCCGTGAGGAAGCTCGGCAGGAATTAAAAGGTCCTATCAGACACCAAAATAACAAAAACACTCCTAGGCCAATAAACAACATGCAAGGAATGCTCCAAATATGTAAAAACCCGGTGAATACACCCCAAATAAAGAGACACGAAAAGGAAAATAGTATATAGGAGACATAAAGTGACAGTGCTTCTTCGCGCACGGAGGGTTGGGTATACAACATCTCCCTGAGGGAAAGTGTAGGAAAACGAAGGTGAAGGCAGAAATTTTTGTAGTAGACCAAAAACACCAAAAGTTGTCGCGCATTGCTCATACATCCATGGTAAGGGAAAGATCAATGGACCTTCACTTAGGAAGGGTAGTTACTTGGTGTCGTGTTGTTTGCGAACGTGTAGGCTTTCGGCTTCTGCATCGATGGCAAGTGATGGCCACCATACTGGAGATCGTGCTCTGGGAATTCGTGCATCATGAATTCAGTCCGCTTCCTCTCCGCGAGCTCTGCAGAGCCTGGCATATCGGTATCTTCGATCGAATAGATCAAAGACGGAGATCCAGAGACCGATTCCATTCCAAAGGCCTGCCCGGTATGGTCGGTGGTCGCGTTATAGCCCATGGGCGAGACAGTGGTTGAATGCACCTGGAGACCAGCCGGGTACTCGGGCGAAGATATGGAAGCAGTGTCGGCCCAGCTGCGGGGTGGGATGGGAATCGAGTCACATGTGATATATTCGGGGAAGGAAGAGACGTGAGCCGGAGCTGACATCGGGGGAGCAACATTTTGATAAGGGAAGGGAGAGTAAATATCCATTGGCGTAGCAGGAGGTGATGCCATGTTGACCTGCATTGGTTGAGAAGTAGGGAAGAAGTGGGCTGTGGAGTGGGCCGACATGCAGTAGTTGCTATCCGCGGGGGAGGCAGGCATGAAATGCTGGAGGTCTTGCGGAGTCAAGGGAGTGGGTGGAGCTAGGCTAGTGGTCGAGAGCGAGGGTCGCAGCATCTGCTCGGCCTTTTTGATAGAACCGGAATCCGCAAAAGTGAAATTGAGTGGAGAGCGCTGGGCAGCCGATGCCTTCCTCACGCCTGCATACCGGGAGTTGAGGCTCTGAGTTGACTTGGATTGTCTCATCGAGTTGCCAGCACTGTGGTTAGGCATACGAGCGGTAGGCGAGAGCGAGGACATCGAGGTCGAGTTGGCCAAGGGACGAGTTCCCGAAGTGCCAATGGCAGCGGGGCGAGGGCGCTTGCGGCGTGCGGCGAGATCAAGCTCCTTGCCGGGTTCCTTCCAAATCCCGTCTGCTCGATCGACGGATTGAGACATCCCAGATTGGCCGGTACAGATTCCAATGCCCTCCAGTGAGGCAGTCAGCGCATCAGAAGACTCACGACGTGTGACCGAGATATCTGGTGCCTGCATGGACATTGGATATTGCATGTTGCTGTAGACAAGTTGTTCGTGTCGTGTGTTGCTGTCCTGAGACCACTCTTCCCTGTGAGGGGTTAGGTGGTTCGAGTAGACGTCCAAGTTCTGTTGCATAGAGTGGGGGTGATTTGACATCTCTGCCATTGATTGGTGGCAAGCGGAATATGAGGTCTGCTCTGTGTTGTATCCCATATTCTCATTGTGCCCGCCAGATCCCCAGGAAGGTTCTTCCTTGATACCAGACCAACCTGAAAAGGAAGAGTTTATGTTGGCAAGGTTCCCATGATCACTAGCTGGAGTGGTCGTCTTCGGTGGTGGCATTGAGCCAGGGGACACTGTCTCTTCTTCGTCTTCTTCTTCGGGAACGGACTCATTCTTGCTCCGGGGATTAATCCGGCGACCGAATCGATCCCGGGCAGCACAGGCAGCATTCAGCGCCCTCTGCAGAGATGCGAAAGTTGCTTCTCTTGCCGACTCGCTCTTTGTTTTGTGGTGCTTGGAACGGCTGGATGTAGAATCTGTCTTGGCATGACCGCTGGACGTGGAGGTAGGTGTTTGCTTAGGAGTAGCGGATCTCTCCGACTCCTCCTTCGCAATTGATCCTTTTCGGGATCCCGACAGTTGGTCCAAGGTCTCTGATTTCCGGCGAGCAGCCTCCTCGGCCTCGGCCTTGGCCTTCGTCATCTTTTCAAATTCCTCCTGGCGTTTCTGTTGCTTGGCCTTTGCGCGACGATTCTGAAACCAGTTCTATTCATTCGATTAGCTCTCTGTAGATCAGAAGGTTATAGCCTCTATTTCACATACTGCAACGCGAGGCAGACTCAAGTTTGTCTGAGCCGCCAATTGACGCTTAACGTTGCTGCTTGGTTTCGGATGAGCCTGGAATTGAGCCTCTAGGGTTTCAACTTGTTCCTTGGTCAACCGCGGTCGTGACAGATTTTCGGTATATTCGTCGTAGTCCATAATCGGTTGGTGGTAGTAGTCGATCATCTCCATTGGCGGGTGGTGATACATATAGCCATCCATAGGGTGCATCATCGGCGGAGGGACCATGGACGGGTCGTATGCCATGTGTTGGTCCATTGGGATACCCTGGTGACCCTGGTAGTTCCATGAGGGGTGAATATAGCTCATGATGATCGGAGCAAAGAGTGGGCAAGTATAGGGGAGAAGAAGCCGTGGGGGCGCAAGAGAGATAGAGACGGGAATGGGGCTGCACAAGAGAGTGGCAGGTTCGAGGAATGAGGTCTATATCATGAAGTAGATTCGGATTGGTTCAACCTCTGATGGGAACGGCAGGGACCTTGATTGTAAATGTAAAGAGTGGCAGTACGGGTAGTCCGTCAAGAAAAAGAAATGAGCAGCGGTAGCTTGTGATAATAGTCGATATTAAGGAGAGACTCGGGAATTAGGGACCCAAAAGAGTGTGTATGGAAAAAGAAAGCAAAAAAAGCAAAAAAAGTCACGTAAAGGAAAGACTGGGAAGGAAAAGGATGAAGAGAAAGAAAGATGGAGTTTGGAGGCGCTGGGAAGATCGGGGGTGACGGCTGGTAAAGCGCCGTACAGAGCTGCCGAACAGTGTGGTATGATTGGGTGGTGGGTGGGTATTGTTCAGTAACGGGGAATCAGATGAAACAGCCTTGCAAAGGTCTGTGCCTGTACTGGGTACATGAGACTTGTGTGCTATTAGTACTCGGGGGGCGGGTACCTATACTTGGATCGAGTATAGAAAATAGAAATTATATTCTCAATTATATCGAAATAAGATTTTAAATACAAATTCGAATAAATCCTGGAAAAAGAATCGCAATGAAAAGCAATTCAGATCGGGGATCGTCTACTTCTCCAACCATCCACGAATTGAAAGCCGAATTACCACCCCCACCGTATTTCATCCTTTTTTAGCCCGTGGAGTCGCGCTACCGCCCGCTCGGTAGGGGGTGGCGGCCTGACTGCATCAGAGTCACATTTGGATTTGATTTTTTAATATCCTTGATTTTATTCTTATTCATTACGATGTATCCTTTATCATTTTATTTTTTTTATTTTGGTCTGTTTCCAGAATAGAGTTGGCCCATAACATAATTCCGATCCCGTCCAGACTCCCCTCGTGAACCTATTTCAACATGGACGTGTGACTGAAAAATAGAATAGCATACGAGGCTCCATGGAGTCCGATCTCGTATGGATATTTGTTTCTATTCCATACCTGCTACAGCACCGGAAATACCTATAACTATGTACCTAATGTACCTTATACTAGTAAGCTTCGGATTAAACAAAGGTGAGCCAGGGTTCAGATGCGGAGAGCCGAGTTTGGGTCGGATGCCTCCCGCGGTATTTTATAGGATTTAAAATACGGATATACGACGGGATACACCTCCTGTAAGATCTCTTCACAGCTTGAGGACCACCATTTCGTGTCCCGCGAATTCCACAAACCAAAAAAACACAAACGCAACAAATCCCAGTTCCTGCATTAGCGTCATGTCTGATCCCAGGAGGTGCCCGTCGCTGCAAAGAAAATCATGTCCACTATAGAAGAATTTAATTTGGAAAGAAACACCAGTGGATCTGCTAGTAAGTACCGAATTACGTGCGATAATGCCGTAGGAGTACAATGCTGTATGTTCATAGCCCTACGGAGTAGTTACACGTAAGACGTCGTCAAGTTGTAACTAGATATCGGTACGGAATTCCGTACCCGTGGGTGATCGGACTTGCATAACTAATCAATCTGCTTTAGGTAATAGTCACATTTCCTCCCTAAACATCCCGGTCGAGTCCTAGGTGTTCCCTCGTACCGGGGTGAATGGAGACCGGTGCTCTGGGTCAGACGATGGGGCAGGTCCCCGATACAATACGGTTGTTTGATTCGAGGATCGTCACGATCATGGAGAACGATGATGATGATGTCTACTCTATCTACAAAGGCACATTGTATAATAGTTACTCCGTAGACTAGTGACTCCTGAAGCAACCAGGTGTCAGCTATCTGTA